GGGACAGGATGATGGTGGTCTCAGGTTTGGGGACCCTCGGGGACAGGGGGCTCCTCAGGGATGAGGAGCCCTCAAGGATCGGGGGACCCCCAGGGATGGGGACCCCTCAGGGACGGGGAGCCCTCAAGGATGGGGGACCCCCAGGGATGGGGACCCCTCAGGGACGGGGAGCCCTCAAGGATGGGGGACTCTTCAGGGACAAGAGGGCTTGGGGGACAGGGGACCCTCAGGGGCAGGGGACCCTTCAGAGAGAGGGGACCCCTCTGCGACAGCGTCTCCTCTGGATTGGGGTCTTTCCAGACCGATCACCTTGAGTGCATGACCTCCCCCAGCAATCCCGCGCCCTGCCTCCGTCTCACTCACTGTTGGGGTCGACACGGGCTGGAGGGGGGCAGAAGGACATGAGACACTCCTGCGGTGGCCTGGGCCCCCCACGCCAGCACCTGGCTCAGAGGACACCTCGACCTGGGCGCTCCCATCGGAAGTGGGGAGGAGCCTGTGCACACAACCCCGCTTCCCTCACAGCCACCAAGACCTACAGGTTACGGAGGAAGGTCCCAGGGCAGCCCGCCCATCCCCCCTCTCGGAGCAGCTCTGATGTGACACAGTCAGGGCAGCGGGCCAGGGGCTTTTTGACCCCCTGTGACAACCCAACAAGGTTCCCCGACCCAGAACCCCCGTGGCTCAGAGCCCTGTCCTCCCAGAGCGGGGGTTGCGTGCTCACGGTCACAGAGCCCCGAGTCTTGGGGATGCCGCGGGTCTGGCCGGGCTGTTTCCTCTGCGTGGGATTTGCCCTCCACACCTGAGCAGGTGGTTTAGGCGCTCACCCTCCCCACCTCTGCCCAGCCCTTCATCCGAGCCCGTAGCCTGTTCCCCTCGCAGTGACCCGGGAAGCCAGGGCATGATGCTGTTGTGTGCGGGCTCAGAAAGGTTGAGCCAGTGCCCGAGGTCACACAGCTTGGGAGGAGCCTGGGCCAGTTCACCCCGACCCTGGGCTCTGGTGCCTGCAAGACCCCTAAGGACAGACGTGAGGGGCTCGGCAGGGAGCCGGGGGCACCCCCCCCCCACCTTCTCCAGGACCTGGCTCAGCCCCAGCTCCCCACACAGGTGTCAGCGAGTGGGTCCCCACGGCGGCTCCCCTGGACGGTTTCTCAGGAGCGCATGGAACTGAGCGTTTGAGGGCTGTGCGTGCCCCTGGGGGCCTGTGGCCACCCCTCCAGGGGCGAGCCCCACGGCCACACCCACGGGCTCACGCACGCCCATCGCACACGCGCGTCCCTGACTCTGGGGCCTGCGGAACCCGAAGTTTTCCCTCAGGTTTGGCCTCGGGCCCCACGCACGCTCCGCCCGCGTGACAGCGGCTTCTCAGCGCCCTGTCTACTTTTGAATGCCAAGAGGGGGCTCCGCCGGTCAGGAGGGAATATCTTTATGGTAAAAAATGAGCCATGTTGCTTCAGCTCCAAGAGGGGTGGGTTCTGCCACGTCGCCCAGGCAGACTGATGAAAATCCTGCTTCATGAAGCCGTGGCTCCCCCATTAATTAGGGGGAGGGGGCCCTCCGCACGGCCGCACACCTCGCCCACGGCCAAAAGCTTGTCAACATTTTCTACGAAGAATGAAAATGTGAATACCTTTCAGATTATTCAATGTCACCAAGGTATGGAGAGAGGTCGCAGTGCTGGGTGTCATTTATCTCGTTGCGGATTTAAAGAGCTTTTTTCTATTAAATTTCTTAAAATTAATGTTTTATGTTGCTCAGAGTAATTTGAACAATTATGGGCTTAAAGAATTGATCATTACAGCCCCTGGGATTTAGCGTTCCAGACTGATTCCTTTGAAAACCCACTGATTTATAGCCTTGCTACTCAAGCAGGCAAGTCCCCAGGGTGTGGACCCCAACCCCCTCCTGTCCACATCTGGGGGGCCGGTCCCCCAACAAGCCGGCCAGTCCTGCGGGGGGTGGGGTGGCGAGGAGGGGGGTGAAGCAGGGAGGGGAGCGGGTCTCAGGGAGGGAGATGTCCCTGCTTTGGGAATCGTCCTTTGAGGTTCCCCCCCTGTGCAAATTTTATACTTAAGGGAAGACCCTTTATGTGTCGGCCGATGTTATCATTTACACTATTCAGGTACTCACGCTTGATAATGTAATACATCGCTGGGTTCAGAAGTTAACAGGGGCGCCTGGGTGGTTCAGTCGGTTGAGCCTCGGACTCTGATCTCAGCTCAGGTCTTGACCTCGGGGTTGTGAGTTCGAGCCCCGAGCTGGGCTCAGCGCTGTGCGTGGAGCCTGCTTCAAAAAGCAAAAAGGAAGAAATAGTTAACGACCTTGCCCTCCCCCACAAAAAGCTTCGCGAGCTCAAGGGGGCCCCGAATCCGCGACAGGGCGCCCCCACCCCAGCGTCTGCCCTCCTCCTCACCAGCAACGCGGGTCGTCCTGGGCAGGGTCCCCCTGGGCACCCCTCCCGCCGCCACGCCGGCCCCGGGCCGCCCACACCCACCCGGCTAATGGGCTTTGTGGTCCCGGGACGCGGGAGCTGTGGTTCTGCCCAGCTGGGGCTCTGCTCGGATGGGGATACCGAGGACGGGGAGGCTCCGCGGGGACGGGGCGGCTGTGGGTCTGATGGCCGAGCACATCTGCCAGGTGCCTGGGTACGTCTCACGTGTCCCCTCCGACACCCGCCAGGGTCTCCGCGCTCGGGCTGGGCGGCCCCGGGGGTCTCGCGGGGGTGGGGGGGGGGAGGCCGCCCGCCCCCAGCTCCGCGGCACTGACTTGGCTCCGGGATTATCGACGCGCCGCCAGCTGGAGCGCGCTCGGCAGCAACTGCCAACAGGCGGAGAGCCCCGCGGGGACACTTAGCACTTTATTAACCTGTCAGCGCCTAAAAGGTCCCGGGCGGCCTGGGGGAGGGGCTCGAGCAGGAGAGGGGGCGACTTGAGGATTTACGCCCGCCCCCTCGGGGCCACCAGGTCAGACAGCGCCGGCTCCTGCGCCACCGGGCCCCCAGATCCCAACTCCGACCAGGCTTCTTTCTTCCCCGGGGGCTCCCTTTCCCCTCCGGGACCCCGCCCACCACCCCCTGGGTGGCCCTGACCTTTGAGCACCATCCTGCCCGGCTAACCCAGAACTGCTCACACTTCCGGGTGCCACGCCTTTGCTCCCCGGTAGGTGCCTCCGACCCTCCTGCCCTGGCCTGGCTCTTCCCTGCCCCACACCCCCCACGGAATGGTTTCGGGGCCCCTGCGTCCTGCCCCGAATCTTCTCCTGGTGCCTCCCCGTTCCCTGTCCCGGGGGCTGCCCTGTGGGGGCACGTGAGCCTGCAGCTGCCGGGACCTTCCTCCCAGGAACGCCGCTCCTCCTTCCCAGCGTCAACCCCTCTTCCCTGCACTGGATGCTCATCCGCCCCCCCCTCCCCCGACCGCCCCGGTGCCCCAAATGCAGTGGAGGCCCACAGGGCCGGGTCGTGCCCTCCGGTGGCGCACCTGCCGGGCGAGGGGCGGCCCCAAGCGCACAGACCCTCTCCTTACATCTCCCTTGGAGGGGCTGCCACCTCTGTCTCCACCTCGCAGGAGGGCTCAGAGGGGGCGGCTCACTTCCCCAGCATCACACAGCAAGTCACAGATGGCGAGGAGTGGAGTCCAAGTTGGCAAGACCCCCACGACCACGTGCCGTGAACCTCCTGACCAGCTGACTCCACACCGTCCTCACCGCCGGTGCCGCTCCAGCTGTGAACGCATTCCCGGGCCGCCCCAGCCCCTGTCTCTCCCAGGCACCGGGCCCCAGCACCCCCTCCCCCATTTCTCCCACGTCTCCTTCCGGTGCTCAGAAGTTTGGCCAAGATGCAGGGACAGAGGGGCCCAATGGTGCCACCCCTGAGGAGGAGCTGCGGCTACTCCAACCGGCCTCCCCGTTTCCGGAAAACTGCCCCCTCTGCCCCACGCACCCCTAGCCCCACTCAACACACGGACCCTCTAGACCATAACCGACAAATTTATTGAAGTCTTGCAAAGAGCTGATGGTCAAAGAGTACATAAAAACACGGGACGTCCACAGAACCAACAGGTAGCTTGGGATGCACGTTTGTGGGGATAGCTGGGCCTCACCGGCAGCCGGCCTGTGAGTCTGGGGCGGGCGGCTACACGCTGTCTGTCGCTGTCTGTCGGGGGCGGAGGAGGCGCCCCATCCTCAGGCAGTTAGAGCGGCTCCCAGAGGGAGAGCCTCGGGCTGTTTGGCAACGGAAATCGGTGGGCTGGGCGTGGCCTGGACACTGAGGGCCTGGGGGCGGCTGTGACAGGGAGGGAGGTCCCCACGGCCTTAAAGGTTGTTCGTGGAGAAGAAGGGCGCCCCGGGAGTGGCATCTCTTCGGAGGGGCAGTGGAGTCAAGAACAGAAAGATCCAGAGCCAGCTGCCCCAGGGAAGAGGGGAGAGGAGGCTCCGGGGAAGGTGGGGGCTGGGGCCAGGGAGGCTCCCGGAGGGACCAGGAAGGACACAGGCGTGGTCCCCCCCCTCGGCCACCGCCTGTCTGGAGAGAGGAGACCGACCCATCTCCGACCTCACGCGGGGCTACACAGCTCAGGCAGATGGAGCTTGGGAAATAAAAGCACGGTTCGTACTATTTTCTTGATTTTAGAAAGAGAAGCATCTTCCCGCCTGAGGACGGTGTGGAGCGAGGCCCGGAGTGAAGGCCCAGCCTGGGCGGGTGATGGTTCGGGTCTAGAAACAGCAAGCGTCCAGTTAATTGGTCCATAAAGGGAGGAATCTGCTTACAAAACAAGGCTCGCGGGTGGCTGCGGGCGGGCCGGCCCCGTGTCCAGGGAGGGGGACGCCCTCTGCGCCCGAGGGAGGGGCTGCGGGGTGTGGCCCTCTCTCGAGGCCCTCATCCTGTCCCCCACTGCTGCCAGTGGCACCTGCATCCCGCGGAGGTCCAGGACTTCAGGAAAGGAGGGCCGTGCGGCTCCAGGCCACCCAGCCGGGGGTGGGGGTGGGGCGGCACCGCAGCCCTCACCCCTCATGGCCGGCGCTCGGGGGAGCCGGGGGCCTCGGTCAGAACTGAGCGTGGTCCACCTCGTCCAGCCAGGAGGCAGGGCTGGCAGGGAAGTCGGGGTAGCCCCCGCTGCTCCCCGTGGACAGGTCAGAGCTGGGTCCGTTTCCTGCCAGCACCCTCATGGGCGGGGGCCCACCTGGGGCCCCTGCGGGCACCAGGCCCAAGCCGGCATCTGGGTATACTAAGCTGGAGAGAAGGGGCTGGGGGCCAGGGAGGCTCTGCAAGGCAGCTGGGGACGGGGGGACACCGTAAGGGCTGCCGGGCCGCAGCTCCCGGTACTGCTCCGGGCCGGCCAGGCCTCCGTGCTCCAGCGGGAAGCTGCCCGGGGCTCCCGCGGGCCTGCCCAGGGCTGGGGTGGGCTCCCCCAGGCTGCTGTAGAGGCCGCTGGCAGGGCCCATCTCGGCCATGGACGGCTCATCTGCAACGGAAGTGGATTGTGCAGCTCAGGGCCCGCCCTCCTCCCCCTCCTGCCCTCAGTGCCCCTCCCCCAGCAGTGGCCGGCCCGCCTCTTCTGCACTTAGAACTCCTGCTGCCCTCGGCCCCCCCCCCCCAGCCTTGTGCAGCTCAATCCCACCCAGCATCTGAGGAACGGTGGGATCCCCTGGGGGGAGCAAAACCAGTCAAAACCCAGAGCTGCAGGACAGTCCCCGAGACGGCTTTGGGAAAGGTAGCACAGAGTCCACTAATTCCATTTTGCAGACAGCTCAACTGAGGCTCAGAGAGGCAGCGTGACTCATTGCCCAAGGTCACAGTGCAGCCAAAGAGAATCTCTTGCAGAAACTGTCTGAGGACGGGCACCAAGGGGTAAGAAAGAGGTCTCCCTGGCACCGAGACTGAGACAATCAGACCCCACAGGGGAGGGTGGGCTCCCCCCCCTCTCCAAACAGCCAAGACTTTTAAACAGCCAAGACTTTTCATCACTTACCCCAGAACTGTGCTGCCCACTTTCCTAAAAAAATCATTGCAAGGGCCAGGAACCAGAGGGGTGGCCTGGACCCTTTCCCCATGAGAAAGCCTGCTGCAGGACAGGTGGCCCACGGGGGCTGTCCACCCCCAGGGGAGCAGCTGAGCAGCGCCCCAGGGGCCAAACCCCACGGCTGGGGGACGGTGGGGGCCAGGGTCCATCAACGGTCCCCTAGCGAGGAAGTTCAGTTTGCGGGCTCCGGGCGCCCAATGGGCCCAGGTGCCGCGGGACTCCCGGGCTGCGGCTCCCGGGGATGCGGGGGCTCCGGCGCCCCGCCGTTACCGGTGAAGGAGACGTCGGCGTCGCTGTCCTGCCCCTCCTCCTGGACGCTGTCCTTGTCGGACTTGGAGCCGCCGCGGGCGCGCTTCATGTTGCGGAAGTACTGGCCCCAGCGCTGCCGGCCGGCGTCCTTCTTGAGTCGCTTTTCCTTGGCGCGGCGGTTCTGGAACCACACCTGCGGGGCGGGGGTGGGGTGGGGGTGACGAGCGGCCTGGCGGCGGGGAGCGGAGGGGGTGGGGGCGCGGCCGGGCGCGGGGCGCTGACCTGCACGACGCGCATGTCCAGGCCGGTCTCGGACGAGAGCTGCTCGCGCACGTGGCGCGCGGGCTTGGGCGACGTGTTGTAGGCGCTCTTCAGCGTCTCCAGCTGCTTGGCCGTGATGGTCGTGCGCGGCCGCTTGGCCGTGGCCTCTGCCTCTGCACCGGGAGGGCTTGGGGTGAGGCCGGGCCCCTCGGCCGCCCGACGCATCGCCCGGGCGCGGGGACCCCGGGGAAGACGCGGCTGGCGCGCGTCCGGGGCCCGCGCGGAGGGGCGGCTGCGCAGCGACCTGGGCCGCCAGGAGGAACGCGCGGCCCCCGCCGGCCCGCGCC